TGTGTGTGTGTGTGTGTGTGTGTGTGTGTGTGTGTGTGTGTGTGTGTCTTTCACCGTGTTTGCACCATTGCTTTATTTCCTGCCCTCCCAGATGAACAGATGAGGTTGTCTTGGCAACGTGATGAGACGTAGATATGCAAATGAGGCTGAGAACAAGCTCGCACATGCACACTGCCACATCAGAAACACTCTCTCTCTCTCACACACACACACACACATCACATTTCCTACGTTTTCTATTTATAAACGTATATGTGTGGCGTTTCAGGGTTGGTTGAACTGTGTGTGCACACAAACACCGAGCGCGCGGTAAAGTCTGATACAAGGGAGGAATCTCACTTTCTTATTATTCACAAATATTCCTCCCCTCCCTGTGCATGAGTGCCATGTAAATGAGTACGGGCAGAAACAGGAGGGAGGGAGGGAGAAGGAGGCTGAGGGAGGAAAAAGAGACACACCATTAGAGGTAGGGAGACACCACAGGGAAATGTTAGAGAAAGAGAGGGATGCGGGAGGAGCAGAAGAGAGTATCAGTCACCCTGAGATGAGAGCGCTTTTTGTCCATCTTTTCATTATCTGCCCGGATCACCCCCCGGATCACCACAACACCACCGCGCTGCCGGAGGAATGTTCGAACCCCGACACACACACACACCCCTCCCTTCTGTCCATCCATCCTCTCCTCATCACTGAGCCGCACAGGAGGGAAGAGCAGGAAAACAAACGAGGAAGGAACTGAAGATGAACACCGAGAGATAGACCAATTAAAGAGATAAAAAATGAGATTTTATTTTTGCACATGCACATACACATCAATCTGAAAGGAAGAAAGGTCTGCAAACAGTAATAATTTAATGTGTTTTTTAGATATAAAATATTACATTATATTGAAGAAAAAAACCTATTTTTATCCCAACATATTGAATACAACTGCCTCATCTTTATTTTTTCACACTGGAGATGTTCCATGTATGCTGAAGAGAACACAACTGAAGGCCTAAATACAGGATTTTCTGTGCTTTTTTCTGTCTATAATTGACATGTAGCTAAAATTACCATAACTATACCTCACCCACTTTAAATCTAATGTCCACTTTTCTGCAGTTTGCAGTTTTAATGACTCTGGAGAGAAAAGGTAGAATTATCTGACTTGAAGGTTTCCACCCATTTGCTCAGTTTTCTATTTCACAATGATCTTTGGTGTCTCATCAATTGATCAGAAGGCCCTTTCCATGTTTTCATGTGTAACAATATAATTTTTAGTGCCTGATTTATTTATCTGCATTATTTTAAGCTAATTAAAGTTGATAACTTTTTTCCCCTGATAACATCTGTAGACGTTTTGTAAGTTTTCTTCAATCGATTCCAATAAATCACGACGTCTCAGACCTTCACTGTAGCTTCCGTCCCTTGAATACCCCACCACCACCACACACACACACACACACACACACACACACACACACACACACACAC